CGGAAGATGAAAACATAGCATTTAGATGGACAGTGAGGTGCCCAACTACCATGAAGAAGAAGAGAGTGGATTCTGGCGAACAGCTAACAAAATCTGCCACAGTTCGGCCTTTTGCCCACCAAATCTCTGTGCCATCCCTCCCTTCACTTTCAGAGTACTCACTGATCTACCCATCCCCAACGAGGAGACCACACAAAGTCCCATCGTTTGCTGCGTGGATTTCACAGCCCGTGGTCTCTGCATGGGGCACAATCCGCTCCACCGGGCTCAGAGGTGTCGCTCGTGTTCTGGTGACCAACAAAGTGAAAGCCAAGCTTTCTGCCTCCTCCACCACCACAAGCACAATGGGAAACAGTGCAGCAAAGACAGAGCGACTTTAGCACAAACTCCAAAAAAGAAAGGAGAAAGATGGGAAACACACGAGAGTCACCAGTCCAAACAGCGACAGAATCCTGGGCCGGCATCATGAGGAACTTGGCCGTTGCACTGAAAAAACCCTTTGATTGGATCACGCCTCTCCCTAAGGGGAGGCCCTCTGCCCATTGTTCTCCGTGGCCTCTAGATTTATTCCACGGCCAAGGCTTTTCTTGTCCATTACCTCTCTGGCCACATCTGATGTGGGTGCTGTGGCCTGTGCCTTCACTGCGGATCGTAAAACACTCCAAGGCCACTTCCTTTGGATGCAAGTTAAGGACCCTGAGGACAGTTTTACAGTTTGAAGAGTCATGAGGATATTAAGGATAGGTTCATGGTTTCATTGTCAATATAATTCTCTCAAAAACTTGGTAGGTTTCTGATATATTTGCTTACAGTCAATGCAGAGCAGCAGTGATCACAAATTACCATTCGAAACAAAGTTTTTAAAACTGCTTCCGTTTTCTCTCTCAACTTAATCTTGAGGTCATCTGAAACCATACATTTGGATATGAGGGCAACAGATTTATCTCCCACTGTTGGAGGTGCAGAAGCTGTTGGATTTTATAAAACTCTCTTTTTCCTTCCATCCTTGCTACAACCAACTCAGTTCTTCCCTGTGTAGTATCTTGTTAAAGGCAGTGGGGGCAGCTACACTCAGTAACTTTGGCTCCAATGCCTTCCTCTCAAGCTACAAAGCAGGCACATGGTCTGCCTTCCAAATATCAGAGTGACGGTGTATATAGCTACTCAGCTAAATATCCAGCTACCTTGGAAGAAAAGCTGCCACAAGTCAACCAGAACACCCTACCTGATATTATAAATTTCAGATGCAATGCGTATTCTCTGACTGCTTCAAAACTGCTACATTTTAAAACTACCTGTAATCTGATTGAAGGAAGTAATGGAGTCTGAGAATTTTCTAATGTCTGTAATATATCCAGATACTGGTAATTCATTTCATGAATACTTATTGATAATCTTATGATTTAAAGAAACACAAATTATTTTTATAGCCAACTGAGATATCTCCTATCTTATTTTCATCACTTCATAGATTCATGTAGAATAAGACAATAATTAAATTATAGTTTGAGTACAGGATAACATTTTCTTCTATGTGTGTTGATTTTTTGGTTGTTTATCATTCATGCAAACAAACTGCCATTTGCCAAGCACTCTCTGCTTAGGATACAATAGTGTGGGTGTAAGTGTGGGTGTGTTTTAAGACTGATTTTTAAGGAATATATTTGAAAATTAAGCTAGAAATCAATTATTACAAATTGAAACACGTATATATTTCCACTTTATATAAATGATCATTCAGAAGATTATTGAAGTACTACTGTTAATTATTCATGGAAGCCTTACAGCGTGTGATGCATCCAGACTAAAAGTGCCACAGATATTGCTCTTATTAGCATTTAGCAAAAGTGGATCTTGAACTGGATTTTTTACATTAATTATAATTAACAGCTATCTAATTTTCTGGTGTGGAGCTAATTGGATGGTCCTGGTAGATGATGTCCTATTCAGGAACAGTTGAAGAGCTAGAGCCAGGGGCTCTAGGGAAGGGCAGAGCGTAAAAGAGAAAAATATGTTCTAATTCTTCTTATTTTGGTGAACAGAACAGTCTATCAATATCATTTTTCTTATTAAGAACTATGTGGCATCAAGATAAGAGTATATGACCCAGCACAGAACAGCTTCTACTACTAAAGTCTTACCAAAGCAAATAACCTCTCCCTTTAAGTCACTAAGCTGGTTCCAATAATCCAGGAAATTTTTGAATCAGACACTAGTTTTAGACATATCTACACAGCATTGACTCATGAGTAACAATAAATTACAGTTCAGTGCTTTGATTGAAACTCTGAAAGATTTATCAATAATCAATTTCTCCATTATCTGTCAAAATTTGTCTACTTCAAAATTAGTATAAGTTTTTGGTCTTTAATGATGAAAGTGAGCTCTTGACAGTCATGGGAATTTTGAAATGTAAAGCATTTTGGGCATCAATCAGTAGAAATTTTCATCTGTTATATCTATATCTACTGGGGATCAGCTGGAAGACAGCATTTGGATCAGGGTCATAAAGACAATGTGTCAAGTCAAAGTGTTTGATATCATTCTAAGAAGGGCAGAGTCTTTTGGGAATTCATTTCAAACCATAGCTTGGTTTAAACACTATGATTGAATAAGGCATTCGAAGATATGTTATATTTGAGAATGAGCCACAATCTTCTATTAGGCTCCTCATTTAAGCCAAAGGTGATAAAAATTAAAATTAGATACTAGTATTAAATTTTCAGTTATGTAAGATGATTAAGTCCTAGAGATATATGCTGTACAACATAGCACCTATAGTTAACAATACTGTATTTTATATTTAAAAATTTGCTAAGAGGTTAGATAAAGAGGGCAGGGAAAATTTTCGGAGGTGATAGATATATTTATGGCATAGACTGGTGATGATTTCATGAGTGCAGACTTTCCTCCAAACTCATCAAGTTGTCTACATTAAATATTTACAGCTTTTTGTATGTCAATCATATCTCAATAAAGTATTTTTTTTTAATTCCATTAATCTATTATAAGAAATATTTATGAAATCTGGTCACATAATTAGAAACATAAAGTTAAGAATTATGTGTGATTGGTTATCCCAGATAACCAAATGGTACCCATTTGAAAATTAAAACATCTCAAATTGTCACTATTTTAAGTCTAAAATGAATTATTCACAGCCATGTTTCCTCACACAGCATATTCCAACATTATTTACCTGAGTCTTTGTGGTGGATGATGCTCTTCACCCATTAATTACTGCCCTGTATCTGTCATAGTCTAGTTAGGACACAGAATTTGCACCCGTCGTTTTAACAGTAAGGATTTAATACATGCTTTTAAACTATAAAAAGTTGTTAACTAGGTAACTAAAAAGAGAAAAAGAAAACATTAAGGTATTATGGGGAAAGCAACTGCAGAAAGGAGCTACTATCTGTAGGAACAAGTGAACAAAGGGAATAGGGTAAATTATTGAAACTTAGAGCGTTGGGAAGGGGGGCCTACAGAGCTGAAACTCAGCCCTCTGGGGGCGGGGGGGGTACTTTTCTGCTGATATTGGTGTCCTGCAACTCAGAGGAGGGGTCATGCAGAGCTGGAAACTCGGGCCACTGAAAAGAGGGCACCTACTTGCCGAGGCTAATGTCTTTGATGATGCGCCTGTTTGTGCAAGTGTTGGAGAAACTGCCAACTGGATTCGGCTGCTGTGATGAGAACGGCCTGCTGCTGCTGGGGTGAAGTATTGCTAGACCGATGCTCACTGGAACTGGAGGTCCAGGAGAAGTCCACAGAAAGGAGACAGGAAGGAGCAAGCCCCCTCTTCCTCCGCCAGCCCTGCAGTCTTCTACAAGTGACCCCTATTGCTAAAGCCTAACAGCACGTCAGCTGGCAAAGCAAAAACATGGTTTGCAAATTTCCAATTCCCAGCATCACCAGAACAGATATACAAGGGTGATTTTGGTCTTGAGAAAAAAATAGCATAATACCTGGCACACAGCATTAGGAGACAATCAAATTACTCAAAGGACAGAGCACACACTTTCAATGAATCCTCCCAGAAAATCTGCTGACGTTTTGCAAGCACCTTACTTACCCCACTTCTAAATATATTACCCATGAGTCAAGGAAGAATGGAGAAAGTCTTTTCAAGGTTTACACATGACCTCAAAGCAGCAGTGTCCACCTTTAAAATGAGTCCATTTTCCTCGTACAAAATAAATTAAATGGCTCAGTGACAACTGTTTACCTAAATTTTTAGGAATCCTTATGACTTATATATTTAGAATCTGGGCGCTGTTCAATAATTAAGGTGATCGGAAGTCTGACGGATGATTTATAATACCTTAGCCAGCTGGAGCAATCATGATATTTGAGAGTAGCGCTTTATATCTTATTTGTATACGTAACAGAAAGTAGTAATCATCCAAACATATATGAATCACATGTATTTTGACACTACACGTAACAAGTTTGTTTTTCTCGAATTAAAAGCAAAATGAAAAAACTTCTACATTCATATGATATTAAATAGAACTTTACATATGATAAATTGCGTTAATTCTTATAATTTTGAATTGCCAAGAAGCATTTAATTTGGAAACATATTTTATTAAAATTAAGCATAAAGCAAGTAATTATTTCTGCCATAGTTATGTCTATTAAATTGTTAGTTTGATAATACAGAGATAATAACCCTGTGAAAGAAAGAATTAACAACCTAACTCTTTAAAACAAGTATTTGTTTCTATGTTGCTTAAAACAAACAGTCTTCCAATGAAGCAATTCTAATCTTATTACATAGGCTTGATCCCGACACCTACACTCCAAAAGGACTAATTATATCAACAAAGACTAATGGAGTTAGAAATGGATTTCACAGAGATTTTAAGTAGTTTTCTACAATTTTATCAGCTAACAGTTTTTTAGAAAATGCTTCTCAGTGGTAGCATTGAGGGGGAAAAAACATTACCGATGTATGTTTATCAACGTAGAGGATTAATAATGTTTAAAGTACTTCTTACCTGTTGATATCCCAGACTTTGCTGGTTGTATCCAAAGAAGAAGATGCCACAAAATCACCACAGGAATGCCATGTGCAGGACCACACTGCATGTCTGTGTCCTTCAAAGGTCAAGATGCAGTCGCCTTTACACAGGTCCCATAATTTAACTGTAGTGTCACCACTTGATGTAGCCAACATGTTGCCTCTATGTGCAAAACCATAAAAAAGTAACTTGCTAAAAACTCAATTTACAATTAATTTTTTATAGATGTTGGTATTCTGTGAGTACCTTGTGTGTGTATACATATTTTAATTTTACTTATAATGGCATATCTAAATGCCTAAATCTTATTATCTTAAGTCTACACAATTAGATGCTTCCTTATATTGTTTAGTAATTCAAGTTGATAAAATGGCACACTTTCTAGATTAATTCTATATTCTTCTAGATTCATTCATTAAATCAGTATTTTTTTAGTATGAGTTAGGTTCAGGGAGATGTGTTAGGCTCTGTGGATGATGTAGCCTCACAATGATGAAAGTTTAGACACAGGTGAAGACAATTTCAAAAACATAATACAAACCAGTAGATCAGCATTGCTCGTGTTTGTATTAATTAAATTCTCCAGGAGTACAGTCTGGATGATGAAGAAAGAAGTGGCTCAGGAATGAGGGGGTGTTTGAGCGACATCTTGAGAGATGAAAGATTTGAAGTGTTGGGTGGTTGAGGATGAGTCACTGGATTTTCCATTTAGATCATTAGTAGATGTTAAAAAAAAAAAAAAAAAAAAAAAAAGCTGTAACTTTCAAGTGGTGGGCACACAAGCTAGTTTCAATAACATAAGCAGAAACATCCAGGGGTTGGTTGGCTTGTTTTCGGTAAAATATCAACTACAAGATTTCTGTTCCATCATCATCTTTGCAGTGTCCTGCATCGGATTATCTTGCTACGTGTTCTCTTAGTAACATCACTCACTGAATATAATAGAATGCTTATTGGGTCTCCTTCCTTGTGTTTTTGATGGAGAACTGTGTCTCCTCTCCCTGTTTCTACAGTATCAAGCGTTATGATAAATAAATGTTTGCAGAGTAAATATTTGAATGAATAAATGAATGAAGTTAAGCTATAAAATGGCAATATCAAGACAAGTGTTTTGCTTGCTTGCTTTTTTGGGGGGGTAATGAGGAGGGTGCTTATTTTTGTGCTGAAAGATTTAAATGTTTATGTACAGAAGAAAAACAACAACTGTGGAGGGAGAGCTTAATAAAGCTGTTGCAGGGAGAGGTGAATTACAGAGCAAAGTTCTCATTAAAGTTATAAAAGGTTATCTATTTTATTTTTCAAATTAGCAAAGTTAAAAAAATTGCCGTATTACAGGTAGTCCTTTACTCATAGATAGAAATTAAAAACTGTCCTTTGCTTTGTAGCTGTTTTTTATTTTACATACAGGGTAGAAAAAAAGTAGGTCTACAGTTGTTTGTATGGAAAATAATACAATAGTTAATAAGTAATAATATAAGAATAAACTGTTTAGCATACTGACAACTGTAAACCTACTTTTGCCATACACTGTCTACTTTTATGGTTTTTCATTTTTTATTTTTTTATTGACTTTATTGGGGTGACATTGGTTAATAAAATCACATAAGCCTCAATATTTTTCTGCTAAACATGGGTCTCTAAATTTAGAAAAAATGTACTATAAAACAATACAATGGAAGATCAATAAAGACCAAAGTGGTTCGTTGAAGAAACTTATAAAATAAATAAATCTCTGTAAGGCTGGAAAAAAAGTCCCTCAAAATTACAATCTATTAAGCCAGATACTAAAGAGATTTTACAAAAGTATACTGTCATTATCTTTAATTGTTTTGTATCTTATGAACAATCTACAAATAAATCAAGTCAAATCTGTTTGGGTCAAGCAATTTATACTTTGCAAACAGTAAACAATATGTATCAATTATATTTAGAAATACTTCATATATCCTGTAATTGCTTTATTTCATAGTTTGCATGTTCTTTATGCAAATTATTGACATTTTCAGACTTTAGCACAGAAATGCAGAAGTGTTAAGCTTGTTACCGCTGAAAATGACCAGTTTTCAGAATTAAATACAATATAGGTTCCAGATTGACTCTAATTACCTGTTTTTAAAGAAATGTGCTAAAGTGTTTCAGGAGAGAGCAGTGGAGTAGAAAGACTCAGGCCTCTTGTGCCACAAAACAGGGAGTGGGTAGTGTAGAAGCGAGGAGGCCTCTCTGCCTCCTCGCCCTTCTGCCAGACAACCCAGGTGACGAGCCGGCCAGACCACTCAGCACTTACATTTAACGTCTCTGAAATTCACTGTCTTGATTTGAGATAAAGGATAAGCTCTGCTCAATATAACTTAAAGCGCTGTGTTGAAGATCACGTAAGAGACTTCTTACAACAGCACATGTATGTTCTAGGTACTACTCAGATTTAAAATTATTTTTTTAAAAATTATCTTGTGATCTCTGGCCCAGTTTTAATATGGAGTTGATGATATATCCATGTTTTCATGAAGAGTGGAACAGAATCATTACTCCCATTAGACTGTAGTCTCACCTACCCCTGCCTGACTACTCAACAGGACTGTCACAGTGTTCTCACTGAATTTTCTCAGTAGCCTCCTAACTGCTTCTGCCCTAATCCTTCTACAATCTTTTCCTCACTGCAGAAGCTTAAAGGGTTCATGCTGCTCCTCTGCTCAAAACCCGCCAATGGTTCATCTCCCCGAGTAAAAACTAAAATCCTAATGACAATATAAGGTCCTACATGGCCTTCCTCCCACCTATCTCGCTAGTGCTCTGATCTTTTCTTCCATTCCTCCTGCCCCACCCCGCCTCTACTCCAGCTACACAGAGCCTCTATGTTGCTGTTCTTTCTTCCAGGAATGTTTTTTACCAGAAAAGTAATGNCTACACAGAGCCTCTGTGTTGCTGTTCTTTCTTCCAGGAATGTTCTTTACCAGAAAAGTAATGAACTGGTTCTCTCCCCTTCTTCGGGACTTTACAGAAAGACACATCAGGTAGGCCTCCCGCAAATGCAATTTCTATTCTAGGTTTGTACTGAGTTATTGAACCTAATTATTTTGAGATCTATGCTTTGTTTAATCACAGTTATTCCCAGATTTTGGTAAATGATTCTCAAGTGGAAGTCTCAGTATAACACTTGTCTTTTTCACTTAGCTAAAGAATATTTCCAAGTCTAAATTGCAAAGTGTGGGACGTGCATTCCTTCCAGAAGAAAGCTGCCCCCCAGCTGTGATGCTGCTGCTTCTCTACCTTCTTCCAACCTCTGATCCGACTCGGTGAAAACCTGGAATTTAGAATTTTCCAATGTACACTACTCTGACTTTCAGGAGTACGTGGTAACCAAAATACACAGGTGTGATGCAAAGTTCAAGTCTTAGGAGGATTGATCTGACAAAATATTCAAGGTCAATAAAGGCAGGATACATATTTCATCTCCTGTAGCCAATGATTAAACATAGAATGAATTACTTTCTTAGCGGCTGCTTCTCTGACACTAAGAGTTGTTGCACAAAGCTGCAGTAAGACAGAAGTGCACTGAAGGGGACTGCTTTTCACAGACTTGAAAAGTTCCAAGTGATCCTGGAACAATATTTTCCAAATAACTATTCTACACTCTGTCTGGAAAGTGCAATTAGAAAAATTTTCCCTGTATGTTTAGGAAGGAGCATTCAATCTTAGGCTCAGATTTTTTTTTTTTTCTATATTCCACATTTGCTAAAGCAACACTGTCTGAAAGCCTTATAATGGACTTAGCAGAATATTTATGTGGTTCCAGAACAAGCAGTGTTTCTGTTCCTGGTATTTTATAAGAAGTTTTTATAATTGGCAGTATTATAATGACAACTGGGATACATTTGAAACTAGCTTGGTAAAAGTAAATTGATGTATCACAGAATTCTAGAATCTCTAGGCTGGAAGAGCACTTGAATTCATCTAATCTAATCATACATCCCTCATTTTGATTCTTTATACTGATACACTGTCATTTCATTGCCCATTTCTCTACTCAGAACTTCTAATAACAAAACCCAGTTCATTTGGTTCTGAGTCGCTCTGTTAGAAAGTCTTCCTTTTGTTGAGGTTATTTTCTTCTTCATAAAACTTCCCCTAATCCTTGGCATCATTCAGAGTTCAAATTATCCCTCTTTTGTTCAGAAGCCTTTAGAGTAGAGGAGGAAAGCCATCATGTCCTAGAAATGACAATCTATTCATGTCCTTTATCACTCCTTTATGCTGCTTCCATTTTAGAGGTTCACAGGACCTAAGCATCTGCACATCCGCTCTACTGTGACTCATAGCTGGTCCATTTCTGTTGAACAGGGCACGTATTTCCATTACTATATTCCAATCTTGTAGCCTATCTCTTTAAACCTTGGTAATAAACATAAGATCATATGTACTCCCACGTATTAAAATATGAGACTCACTTTGCTTAGTTTCCACTCCCTGAGGCATTACCCTCTCTTATTCTTTCACTAATCGCCTCTTGTGTTTCATTTTCAAATTGTTATTTTCCTTCCCACAGCAGACCTGTTATTTCTAATGACCAGCTTGACAGTTAGGTTGAAGTTCTCTTGATAAGATCAGTTTGTTTCAGGACAAACAAAGCTGTTTCTAATATTCTGACCTAAACTGTATTTCTACCCAGGAACCCAGATGAGCACTTCAGTCTATGAAGCCACTTTTCAGAAATCCAGACTCCATTTGCTTAAATCATGTGTAAAGCAAGCTGCTTACCTTTCCTGTCCCTCCATCCCTGCAAGTGCAGATAAGAGAAAGGGGTAATGGCAACAGCCCACGTATCCCCGCGTCTTCTAATTTCCTGCCATGGATCTCATAATCACTAAAATGCTTTGCTGGTCTTTCTAAGACTGTCATCTGTTCTACCATAAAATCAGTGGAGTGGAGAGAGGAACAATAATCTCAGCAGATTCTCATCACATTTCTAATAAACTCTAGAAAAACAACACAGATTTCACCTGAATTTGCCAAGTCTTCATAGATTAGATATCCATTACCAGGCTGTGCCATTCACCAAGGAATTCACAGAAGTCAGGGTACGTATTAGTTTATGTTCCGACAATGTGAATTCTACACCTCAAGCTTTACAAGTATAACTAAATCGGATCCCTTATGTGTACTAA